CCAGCAGTGAGACGCAAGGGCCCCCAACCCCTCCTGCTGCTCAGTCTGGGAATTAACTCGGTCCAGCCTTAGAGCCTCTCGTCACCCTCTCCCGGCAGCCCTGTTGAGACCCTCTTCCCACCAATCTCCACCTTCCATCTGGAGCCAGGCCCTTGCCAGCCCACAGCACCTGCCCAAGACACCACCCCCCTCATCGATAACCAGCCCTTCCTCCCCAACGCTGGAAAGAGACTAACGCCCTAGGCCACTGCAGTTCTTTTTATAGGGCCTAGCCCGGCCCTGATTGGCTGCCTCATGCCCTCTCCGGATTGGGTCCCAGGATCAGCGCTCTCACAAGGCTGTTTTAACCCTTTCCACGCCAGTGTGGGACAACCACTCCATCCCAGGGATTATTCACCTCTGTCTAAGAAAATGGGACGTTTCCCATCTGCATTAGAAGGGTAAGTCAGTTGGCTTCCGAATGGAGGGTCGGATGCCCAAATCCAGGCCGTGTTTAACACCGGACAGGGGCACCTTTCACTCTCGCTAACAAGCTTGTGATGCTCTTGCAGAAATAAAAATAGAATCACAGACTCATAGAACCCTAGAACTTGGGAGGGACATTCAGGGGTCACTGAGTCCGGTCCCCGGCCCTCATGGCAGGACCAGGCACCGTCTAGACCATCCCCGGCAGGTGTGTGTCCAACCTGCTCTTCAATCTCTCCAGCGAAGGGGATTCCACAACCTCCCTGGGCACCTCATTCCCGTGTTTCACCACCCGGACAGGCAGGGAGTTTTTCCTAATGTCCAACCTAAACCAGTGCGGCAATGAACGCGGCACCGCTGCAGGCAGCTGCAGAGTAGCCCGCCAGCAGTCAGGGCCTGTGGAGAATGCAGCCTCCCACCCCACATCAGTTCTCATCAGGCTGAGGGAAACTGAGCTGCAGCCCCGGGGCCCAGCTCTGGGGATGCTCCACAGCCAGGAAGCCCTCAGGGGTGTTCACACAGAGGCAAGAAATGGATAAGTACCTAACGCGGCACCGCTGCAGGCAGCTGCAGAGTAGCCCGCCAGCAGTCAGGGCCTGTGGAGAATGCAGCCTCCCACCCCACATCAGTTCTCATCAGGCTGAGGGAAACTGAGCTGCAGCCCCGGGGCCCAGCTCTGGGGATGCTCCACAGCCAGGAAGCCCTCAGGGGTGTTCACACAGAGGCAAGAAATGGATAAGTACCTGCCTCAGGCCCCACAACAGCTGCAGGAATGGGGGGGGGGGGAGGGGGGGA